CCCTGTCAAGACGCCACTGAATGATAGCAAGGGTGCGGCTTCGAATCCCGTTCAAGTCCAAAAGAACCTTATGATTACTCTTGCACCATGAGCTGATGAAAAAAACAGCATGTAAACAAAAAAATATCTACTGAAATCGACCGGCAAAAATTATTCAGACACACTGTTTTCCCATGCATCACCCGGATGAAGCAAACAAGCGGAACCGACGGCGACGGTCTCGTTCCACTATCGATAAACATACTGGGTGACAAAGGGGTTCAGTAATAGTGACAACAAGATATTAACAGTAGTAATCAGGCAACAGTAGTAGGGCCTACCTGCAACAAGACTTTAGTCGATGCGATGTCTTTTTCCACTTCATCCTGCAAATCTTTCTCGCTGTCCGTCAGCTGGGCACAAATCGCAGTTGCATTTTCTACGTCATATCCCTAAAGGCAGATAGATTGAGATTTACGTGTATTCATGCCCTTTTGAAAGTCCGCACATTTTCCAGGATACGCCAAGCATTTAATTATCTCCCAGGATACGCTAAGCATTTGATTCCACTCAGGATTGTTGATCTCAGGTTCATTGGACTGGAAATGAATTCATGAGTTGGTCTTTCGAAAGTTTGCTTGGTACCGGGATTTTGCCTATTTTTCACTTTCGCCCAGGTTGAAGGCAAGCCCCGATCTCGTCAACCCACATTTCTTGAACTTAACAGATAGATTCTGTGTAAAAAAGGTGCTTTGTGTCCTTTCATAGCGGCGGAAACTTTCAAAATGTTCCGAAACATCCTGAACTTTCTTGAAACTTCCAGATATGCTTCGCAAACACCCTAGTCTTCCTCTCCTTTTCCCGAACACTCGAATATTATAACAATAAGCATAAAGCAAACACCCCGCTGTAAATAAATTTGCTAATTTTTCAGAACTAGTGAATGTAGAGGATGGAACTGACGAGATCCAGGTAAAGTGCTTCGGGGCGACTACGGGGTGATGATTGATGGGGTGAAAGGTCCAGGTTCAGAGAACCCACAAATTTTTCATGAGGACTTCTTAAGAAATGCCGGCAAGTGCAACAAGAAATGAAAGAAAAAGGAAAGGCTGAAGTTCCAGAACTGGTTGTTCTTCAGAATCGCAGTCAAAAATGCATGTGCTTGGGTGAAAAAATATGGAGCAGCCCATCAGTGGAAGAGTGAACCTTGGGAGGTGGGGCGATCCCTGGAGGGCGGAGCTACCCATGGAGACAAGAAATTCACTATTGAACGGTATTGTTGCGATATTGATCTGACTAGTT